TGTTTCCTTTGACTTGGTTTGACTAATATGCTCTTCCTTAATGATTCCTCCAGCTAGTAGTTATCAGTTTACAGCTGCATGACTGATTATCAAATGGAAAGTGTGTATTTTTGGGCTTTACTTCTAAACAACTTACTGACACATACAAGTTTTGTTTCAGTCTGTATAAAAGTGTTTGAACAAGAAGTTTACTGGTACAGTAATAAGTAATCTTTTTCACTATTGCTTTTTATATGGTGAATTAAAATCCAAAGATTAAATGTTGGATTCTAAATAATTGGTGGAGGCATTTCTGTAAGGACATTTTAAGGAATAGATGCTTTAGCTCTAAAGACCTCTCCTGTTTTTCTGCTTGTTCAGAATATATAATGGTTTTAATTCGGTTACCTATCTCTGTTACCACATTAAGTTACCATTCGGTCTGCACTGCTTTTTGAAGAGGGTCATGTATACGTGTGGTTTGTGTGTGTGAGAAGGGCTGTGTTTATGCTGAACTTACTTTTTTCTGACGTATTTTGTACTTAACGCATAATAGGATCTTCATGTATTCTATAAATCCCTTGATACAAGGAGAAATATGGAGACTGTGCAATTGCAAGCTCCCAATAAAATGTATGTAATTTCCTGATAACTTCCATAATGAGAAGTACGTACCATGATCCTGCCTCAAGTCATATGATAAGAAAATAAGATTCAATAAGGAAACCTGTTTTCTTATTCTGACTTCTAGCTTATGAATACCTAGACCGTGACAGTGAGCTGTGACATCTGTGTTAAAGAGAGGGAGAGATCCATGGCTCTATGAAACAGTGTAATGTAATAAAGTGGCGAACTGCATGTATTTGAGCTGGTTTGTGTCCAGACAGAGAAGGTTAATGTGCCAATAGCTTATAAATGGCTTTACCCACACACCAGAGACCCAGAAATGCTTCTGAAGTGTTAGCAAGCATTAGTTGCTGTCAGAACCTCAACAAAATGTGCCTCCCCGTCCTGAACACATGAAGGAAGATGTTATTTCAATAAAAAAGATTTTTAAATGGCATATAGGATGTGTGTCAGGGTGTTTATTGTTCTAGAAACAACATTGTTTCATGAAAGTCAAAATCTGATTTTTCTCTCACAAATCTAAGTAGGGCTTAATGGGTTAAAAGGAAAATTACTTAATGATTTCAGGCTTTATTCTAGACAAAGCTTGGACAAAAACAAGGAGATGGGCTCTATGGACATGCAAGAACAGTTACTCTGGGAGGTGCTGGAGAAGCAGTTGCCTCCTCTGGTTTCAGCAGGGAGTGTGGAGGGTCATTTGGGGGTTTTTTATTTCTTTTTTTAAAGTCCAACAGGAAAGCTTCCTTGCTTGATGAGGTGGAAAAAATTTCCAAGCACTATTTGTAATGCAAATATTTTTTGCTATTTCAGTATTCTAAGGTCTACATAAATGACATTGCTGGAATTGTTGTCATCTTATTTTTTGTATTAAAAACTTCTACTTGTAACTATTTTGGGGTAACACAAAGGTGATGATAAAATTAAAACATATTAAGGACAGGATAGTTACACACAAATTTGGATCTTTTAGTGATGTGCACATACGAAAATACACTATGTTGCCAATTGTGAAGCTGTATTCTCTTAGTATGTCTAACACTTCTTACTACTTTCTCCTTCCCCCTTTCCAAATTTGAGAGATTTAGAAACCAGCAGCTCTGAAGAGTAATACAGGGGTACGGGGTGCGGTTGCCCGGGTCTGCCGGGGGCTGCCGCGGGGCGGGAGTGCGGGGAGGCCGGGGCTGCCCCGTGCCGGACACAGCCGGTTCCAGCCGGCTCCGACCGACCCAGCGCAGGGCGCGGCTGAGCCCCGCGGGCACGATGGCGGCGCCTCGGGGAAAGCCTGGGGAAGGGACCGCAAAGCGCTGCCCGACCGTGAGGGTGAGGGGAGAAGGTGAGAAACTGCCCTGAGAGCACCGAGGGCAGAGGGGAGGAGGCGATCCCCTGCAGCCCCTGGAGAAACCACAGTGGAGCAGGTTTGGTCTGAAGCCCGTGGAGGACCATGCTGGAGCAGATACCCACGCTGCAGCCTGTGAAGAATCCCACAGCAGAGCAAGGGGATATGCTGTGGAGGATCTGTGCTGGAGCAGGCTCCTGGCAGTAGTTGCAGTCCATGGAGAGGAGCCCACGCAGGAACAGGAGAAAAGTGTGTGGAGGAGTGAGCGGCAGAGAGGAGTTGTTATGGGCTGACCACAGCCATCATTCCCCAAAACTTTACTCTGTTTTAAATTTGCAATAAATTAATTTTGTCGAAGCTGAGTCTCTTTTGCCTGTGATGGTAATTGCTAAGTGATCTCCCTGTCTTCCTCTTGACCCGTGGGCTTTTTAATTTTATTTTCTCCCCTGTCATGTCGAAGCAGGAAAGTGAGAGAGTGGCTGGGTGGGTGTCTGGCAGCTGGCCCAGGGCAACCGGCCACAACAGGATACAGTGAATGAGTAACAGCTTTTGCTACAGTGCTGGGCCTCAAATATCTACTCTGTTGCATCATGACTCGGAGGCAATGATTGTAGATACCGCTAGAACCTCAATCAGTACTTTTAAAGGATGCTGAGGGGAAGGGCTGTAGGAACAGTTTGGATGGAGAATTCCATCTGTTGTGCCAGACTTGAACAATAAGAAATGATCTTTGAGAAAACCATGATGGTATATGGGACCAGCACTCTTAATATCTTCATTAATGGACAGTGGGATTGAGTGCACCCTCAGAAAGTTTGCAGATGACACCAAGCTGTCATGTCCAGGGGATGGGATGCCATCCAGAGGGACCTGGACAAGCTCTAGAAGTGGGCCTATAGGAACTTCATGAGGTTCAACAAGGGCAAGTGCAAGGTCTTGCACCTAGGCTGGAGCAGCCTCCAGTGTCAATACAGGCTGGGGGATGAAGGGATTGAGAGCAGCCCAGCAGAGAAGGACTTGGCAGTACTGGTGGATGAAAAGCTGGACATAGGTCAACAATGTGCTCTTGCAGCCCAGAAAGCCAACTGTGTCCTAGGCTGCATCAAAAGCAATGTGGCCAGCAGGTTGAGAGAGGTGATTTTTTTTATTTTTTTTTTTCCCCTCTACTCTACACTTGTGAGACTCCACCTGGAGCACTATGTGGAACTCTGGACTCCTTAGCACAGGAAAGACATGGACCTGTTGAGGAGGGTCCAGAGGAAGGCCACAAAAATGGTCTGAGAGATGGAATACCTTTCTTATGAGAAAAGGCTGAGAGCTGGGGTTGTTCAGCCTGGAGAAGAGAGGGCTCTGGGGAGACCTTATTGCAGCCCTTCAGTGCTTAAAGGGGGCTTATAAGAAAGACAGGAACAAACTTTTTAGTAGGACCTGTTGTGATAGGATAGGGGGTAATGCTTGTAAACTAAGAGACTGGAACAAGTTGCCCAGAGAGGTGGTGGATGCCCCATCCCTGGAAACATTCAAGGTCAGGCTGGTTGGGGCTCTGAGCAACCTGATCTAGTTGAAGATGTCTGTGCTTGTTGCAGGGATGAGTGGAATATATGACCTTTAAATGTCCCTTCCAACTCACCATTCTATGATTCAGTGATGGTACCTTCATACAAAGAAAACAGCATGCTCACTGAGAGCTGCAAGAACCCATAGCTGAAAGACCAAATGGATTCACTCAAGTGAGAAACGAGGCACATGCTTCAGTAGAAGTAATCAACTGTCAAAACAGTAACAGGCAAAAGATTCTTGATCTGTTCTGTCTTGATAAAGACTGGATACCCATCTGCCAGGTTGTATGCAACTGTTTCCCTGGGCAGGGGAAATGGAAATTAATTATTTGGGGGTGAACAAAGGAGGTATGTGTTCGTGAGAGGTAAATAGCAAGATTAGACTAAAAGGAGTAAAGCAAGACTAGTTTCTATCAGTCAGAACATTATGCTCTTAAACAAGCCATGTTTCTCAATATTGTTGATGGGGACAAGAGCTCAATTCTTATTCATACCCTCTGTAGCAATTGTTCAGTTGTCTGATGCGGGTGGAGGAAATGGACTGTGCTGCATTAGGAATGTCCATGCTGTCTTCAAAACTGGTCCAAAACCCTAGGGAACTTGAGATGCTTTTGGAAAAAAATGTTAATGTAAACTTGTGTACAGAACTGTATTTAGCTGTTCTTAAGTACTTGGTAGACTTGTAGCCTGCCATGGAGTATATGAAGAATAACTGTAACTGACTCTTGGGCCTTGCAGGAATGCTTCTGAATCATGAGGGAGCAAGGTAGAGTCCTTTCTTGGGAGGAGGGCAGTTCTTAAGGAAGGATGTGTAGTAAGGTGCAGTGAGGGAGGAGGTAGCTGGGTGGGGGTTGATGTAGGAGTAGTAGTTATTTCACTTGTTCTCTCTGGCATTTTGATATTCCTGAAACAAGAGATATCCAAGAATATATGGGGTTTTTTCCCTCTGATATAAAAGTATAGAAATGTTAACTAATGTTTTCCATATCATTTCAACAAGAATTTGAGGTAACTCTTCATTACCGCACACATATTTTTATGCAGTAGAAACCGTATATGTATATATATATATAACTATATATATATATTCTTCAGTAAACATGCCTGCCTTGTAACAGGAATACAATGAAAAATAGACTTACGGATTAATACAAGTCTCCCCAGTTAGAAATAGACTGAGACATTACCCCAGTATAAAACAATGTCTACTGTTTATATAGAACTTCTCACATGTAAATATTATCATGCTACTGTAGAAGAGAAATATCACTGGTTTTTACAGGTGCCAGGGCCTGGAGAGGAAAAGATTAATTGTTCAAGGCCACCTACATGGCCAGCCCTGATCTAGGTCTTAGTCCTGTGCTGTGTCTAGTAGACAATATCTAATCTGTCCAGTGTAAGGAGGTCTCAGAAATACTGCTTGTAGCTGTTGAAGCACATATGAAATTGTGAGTATTTATTGCTGAATTGTCTTTATTTTTTTTTCTGTTCCCTTGCAGATCATAACGTGTCTGGAATTTCCATTGAAACGGATAACAAAAATGTAAAAGCAGAGGAGTTTAAGGGTACAGTATGGGCACTGCTGTGATTGTTTTCAATATATACACAATGCATGAAAGCTATGTATACAGAAGTTGTGCAGCTGCTAAGATTGTCTTCCTCTTTCCTGAGGGGTCCTGATGCTACTTTTTCCATTGACTCTTTGTGTAATCTTGGTCTTGTCCCCATTTTCTCTTAGTTGATGTGGGATTGGACTAGATGCTCTACCGATGTCCTTTTCAGCCTCATCTATTCTGTGATTGTCTGACTTGTTTGTCAGTACTGGTAGCCCACTGTCTAACTTCTGCCTGGTTTCCTTCCACCAAAAATGATGAGAACTGATAGAAAGGAGAAGCATTAACTATCTGACAAGATAGACAAGTGAGGAACTAGAGAGAGAACAACTGTAAGTCAGCTAATTGTCAGTAACTATAATTTAATGGCTTTTTTTAATTGTCAGCAACTATAATGGCTATTTACGTATTTATATATGTATGTTGTATGTAAAATGACAATTGGCTTCCAGTAATGTGCTAGAGAAGTTAAGGATGCAGGGGGGAAACCCTGACGTTTGCTGGATAGATGAGAAAGGGATCCTAGTAGTGTGCATGTGAGGTTTGTGGGTTATGTGAGGTATTTTCTGTTTGTTTTTTGCATTTGGTTGGAATGGAGACAGATGGGAATTTAGGAAGTGAAATAATGACTTTAGCTTTAGGCTTTATTCATCTGTTTGAGGTAATACTAAAATATTTTAGAGGTTTCTAAAACTGCTGCCTGGGCTCCTGTCAAGTATTCTTGTAACTTTGGGGGAAGAAAAACTTAATACATTTAGAGCTCAGGACAGGCAAGAAGAGAGATAAACTATTCAGGTAATATTAAAGCTTGATCAGGTTCTATCTTTTTATGATATGTGGCTTGCATTTTGTTCTTTTGTTATTTGTATGATAGAGTGAGATCAGTTTAGCATGGCTCAGATGCTCAGTTCTTTTTGTGTAGCAACACCAAGGGAGTGGCAGAGGCTGATAGATGTAGCTATTCAACTGAATACAGCTGTCTGAAATACATTTTTCTTTTCTCCTCCAACTCTTGTTACTGTGGAGGAAGGTGGTTAGTCACTGGAACAGGCTCCCCAGGAAGGTGGTCACGGCACCAAGCCTGTCGGAGTTCAGGGAGTGTCTGGATGATGCTCTTAGTCATATGGTTTAGGTTTAGATAGTCCTGCAAGGAGCAGAGTTGGATTTGATGATACTTAAGGGTCCCTTCCAACTTCAGATATTCTATGATTCATTCTATAACCAAATAATAGCCTCAAGACCACATGAAAGAAATCCAAATTAAACATTGTCAAGATCTCTCCAAGATTCCAGAAGGTTCTTTCAGGCCTGGCAGAGCCTGTGTTGATGCACAGCATCCTGTGGGCCTACCTTAATGCAGGTCAAGTAGACCTGTTCTGGAAAATATCTCTCGCTGACTGCATTAGTATGAGAAGAAGTGGGAGGAGAACTATAACTAAGGAGGGGTTTATTATGTTTTCTCTGTTCTGCTTGTGCTCCCTTTCTCTGGATAATACTAGTGGGAGGGTATCAATGCTAGCTTTTCCTGAAATGAAAAAATGTAGCATGCAAGAAAGGGGCAGCTCATTCAAGATGGAGGTGACTTACTCAGCTGAGAACGCTTCAGCTGAGCCGTCTCTGTGTACTAGTATAGACCGGCTCATGAGACCAGCCAACTGTCACAAGGTCAGTAGCAAAAGCAAGCTGAGCTTGAATGATGGTTTTTCTTTGTTAGAAGGATACAAAAACAAAATGGAAAGGAAACTTAAGCAAATCTTAAGATTCAGGAAGCCTCCACCCATACACTCAACCTGAAGTCAGGAACCTCGGGCTTCCTGAGTGTACAGCATGTTTTTTGAAGCAGCCAGTGTGTGTGTAACATGTTTCTGGCAAAGAATGCCCTCCTGCTGCAATATTTCTATCAAGTCTGGACATTTTTTTCCTCTGTGAGAGATCACCAAGGCTACAAGTCTGGCTCCTTGGAAGCTTTCGGTTTCTCTACAGAACAGACCTGGGAAGTCAGACTCCAAAGGATGAGGGAATAGATCTGTCAGTAGCTCTTAATTGCCCTCCAGCCTTGTTTGCTGAGACTGGAAACGAGACTGCCACTTAATGCAGATGGACTGCATGTTTGAGCAGTGGATGTTTGTCTGCTGAAAGCTACAGTCATTGCCAAAACTATAAAGACTTTTGATCCTTGATACTCTAGTTTATATTGCAAAACGAGGAGTCTAAAGGTGGCAAGACCAATATTGTATATGTTTCTTTTACAGAAGTTTCTGGGAGATACTAAATTTTACTTTATTAATAGATTTGGAGCCAGTCAGATGTGTGGTTTGATTCTTGCCTCTGATGTTGTTTCCCAACAATTCTTATTAATACCTTGATTTAAGAGTTATTTACCAGGGAGAAAAATACATATATTTCAGCATGCTGTTCCACAGAAAATGGAAGTGCAGAGATGCTGAGTTTGTGTCAGTAATTCATCTATACAGTTTGTCATGTCTTCTCTCCCTCTTTAGTTCCCCCATAATAACTATAGGCTTGACCATAGACCAGAATTACTATGATGCAACTACATGGTAGTGATGACATATGCTGATGCCCAGCTGTGAGGGAGGAAAAAAATAACAGTTGAGCTCTTCCTCATTAGGAGCACTAATTTTGATTTGTTTCCTACCCAGTTATAGGTATATATATAGCAATAATAAGTAACTTAAAAACTCAGCCTCTCTGTGAAATTTGGTTGGTGATGCCTACTATACATAAGTCAGGGAAACTTGAGTGGACAGACAAAAAGATGAACAACTGTATGAACCTTATTTTCTTGAACTCAGGAAAAATAAGATGTAACTGCCAAGGGATGTTGGGAACAGCCTCTGCCCCCAGCAGCTCTGGGGGTTCTTCCCAATGCATCTGGAGGCCTTGGGGGTCTTTGTCCCAGGCCACTGGACAGAGCTGCTGCTTTTCCATTTGCAGCTTCAACCAGTAGCAAGGTTGTATGTGTGTCTTAGGGATGCATGCGTGTGTGCACACACCCACACATACACACACTCGTGACACTTGCACTGCCAGCTACACAGACCGCCACAGACAAGGCACTGCTTTCAACAGCCCCCACACAGACCACTGCCTGGGTGAAGTGCTAAGGCTGACAACAGGCCCAAGCCAGAGCTGACCTATAGATGAATTCTGTATATTTTATAACTGATAACCATTGTGCTAGTAGGTATTGTACTAAGTTATAACAACCCACTTACCGCTGATGTAAAAAGTGCTAAAGCATTGAAATACTGAAGCCTGAACAACAGGCCCCAAGCCGAAGCTGCTAACTTAGTGTGTAATCATTAACAAAGTGTGTAAGCTCTCTAGTGAAAGATGCCTCCTAGAATATAATCAGTAGTGAGGGTGGAATGCTGAGAGAATGTGTCCAACTTCCCTTGTTTAACCTTGTTCAGGGCTGAGAACCCACCTATTTGGCCTTGTTAGAAACTCCCTTGGTTTGCCCCCCTGAGCCCTGGCCAGGCTTTGGGTGGAATCCAACAGGAGAATGAAACCAGGAATTTTCCACTCAAAACAAAGGTGCCAGCTATTCTGGCTTGCCGATCTCTGGTATATAAGGCTGGACCCGCTCACAGCGACTTTGGAAGCCTCACCTGTGGGTGGACGCACCAGGTAGGATTTCCCACTTGCCGGGACAGGCTCTGCAAACCCTCGCTGTAACCGGGGCTGCCCAGCCACTGCGGGTCTGGGTGATGGTAACATATGCAAGTGGTGATGGATCTTTCCTAATCACTATTCTCTCTCTCCCATGTAGTAATGATTTGATGCATTACCCTGTATTTTCCTGTTTGTTGCTTTAGGTGCATATTCTGCCTTTTCTTACTGCATGTCTTCTGTATTACTCTGTTACATTATTTAGTTATCACCAGTAAAATACACCTGCTCTTTTCACTGTGGTGTCTGAGTTTAATCGGTATCCTTAATCAGCAAAACACTGGGCTCATATAAAGCATTATAAGTACAGACAGCTGAGCCTCCTTCCTCCTCTCTGGCTGGTGGAGATTGAAGTTCAGTGGTGAAAGCCCTCACAGAACACTCTCGAGATTCGCAAACACATGCCTGTTCTTGCATCCCCTATGTACCAACACAGTCCCTCTGTCCATCTGCTACCCCTGCCCTACTCATCAGCTCGCCCAGCTTGAGGTTTGCTTGTGAATTACACACAGACCTCTAGGCACACCAGGTCCAGAGAAGACACTGTGCACACACCACACACCCCCTCTGCCACAAGCCCAGGGGTGTCAACACCTCCAGTATGAACCCAGTTGCTGGCCCTAAATTTACTCAAGAAACTGCTCTCTGCCTTGGTAGCTTGCATTCCAGGCACATGTGCTTTGAGACTCACCAACACACACTCCCAACATCTGTGCCCCCCCCCAACTACTGATGCAGAGACCCTCACTTGCTCCAGTTGCCCCCACCACAGTTCCATCAGTTTGTTTGGAGATTGACAGTCTTCGTCACCATTTCTGTTAGTCCCTGTTTGTCATGCTTGTGTCTGTTTCTGTTTGTTGCTGCCCCCTTTACTTGTTATCACTTTTGCATTGAAAAGGTCCTTGATTGGGAAACCTTAATGAAGCAGACTCACTTTCCACATACCCTTACAATAACCAATGTGAAATTGTAACTAAATACATGTTACTTAAGAGAATGTTTAACCACCCTACTGCTATGTTTTCCATCTGCATTGTTATAAATTTAAACAGTTAAACTACTGATACTGAATTCAAAATGGTAACTCACAAAATACTGTTGATAACAGGGTCAGAGTCCTTTTTTAATGGTGGTATGCTCACTGACAAAAATATTTAAACCTAAAATGAGGGTAGTAATACAGAATCTCTGCCCATCCAACATGGAAAGATCTAGTCTCCAACATCTGAAGTTTGATCCGAAGACCACTGAAGCATGGGAAAATTACTAGTTTCTGTTTCCCCATTGTGTTTGAGTAAATCTGGAGAAGGTCTAATGGCATGACACTGAGAAGTAGATCTGGCCCTTGCTGACTGCTCAAGTTCTTTTGCAGGGGAAACATTAATTTCATGGAGCCTGAATGCACACCAAACATAATGCTAAAGTCTCTAATTTTCCCTTTTGTGTTAATTTTTTTTTCACCCTTCTAGAGGCTATTCTTAGTTGCAAGCACAAATTTTCAAAAGCGATGAGCTTAAGAATAGAATGGAAGAAAATTCAGTCTCAAGGAGTCTCATTTGTCTACTACAATGGTGAATTTACAGGTACAGTACTACAGACTTGCACTGATAGTTTAACATGTCATTCTAGCAGAGGTATCGACTCTTTCTTGTGAAGTAACATTAGGAAAATGACTGAAGGACAATGCTTTTGACTCTGCATACTGAACAGCTGTCCTTTTGAGGAAAAGAATTCTTCCCCATGAGGAAAACAAAAAAGCATTTCTTAATAAAATAATTAATAATTAGTTATCTTTTTAATTAAGTAAAATATAATAAAACTCAAGACTAAGAAAATGGCACTGCACATTCCTTGACATTTTTCAAAAATGTTTACATGCAGATATAAACTCCCCAAAACTACTGCAAGCTCTGCCCTTCTATCCTACAAAGAGGTTTATGAATCTTCCTGTAGAGCTGGAGGCTTAGATATGAATAATGCAGCAATTTTTGTATGCATAAAATATAAACTCAGCTGTATATTTTAAATTATTCGTATTCTTTTCAGAAGTGGAATTTCTCTTTATTTGTTCTGAAAAGGACTTACTTTAGCTTTATGTGTATGGGTCTTTGGTTTATATTTACACAATAAATGAAGGTTCAGGAGTAAAATAAAAGGGCAGCAATTTTGTTAGTTTGTAGAGCTTGCAAGTTGTGCTTGTGTTGTTGATGAACTTGGTTTTATTTGCACATATTTAATTTAGAGAAATACTGGAACTCATGGTTCTGTGTGTGCATGTAGCTTTAATTTCATAACAAGCTGTAGAATAAAAACCCCCTCATTGTAAGAAGTCTGATGGCCATACCTTTGCTAAATGCATCAAGTTTTTCTTGCCAAGTTAAAATGTCAAATACTTTGCTGTGGTCTTGCTCACATTTCTTTCTGTAAGGTAATTAAGTTATTGATTGCCATCCCTCTAGTGGAAAATTATGTCTTTTTTGTCACCTGACTACTGCTATACGTATTTTTTGAAATATCTGAAGAAAAAAAGCATTCCATCTTCCAGCTGGAAATGTATGATAGATGTAGGTTTTTCAAACTGAGTTTTTTTAAAACTAAATGGACAAGTTGTGGAAGGTTCTTACTGTCTTGGGAGGAGGTTACATTTTGCTCCTTGGTGGTAGATAACTAATACTGAACAAATGAGCAGTACTTCATACATTGTACGTGATTTCAGAACAAGCCAATGAGATGTAGACATTTGCTGTAAGCAAAGAGCAGAAACCTCTCTGTCTGTTCTCCCTTAAAGGTGATCTTCGAGGCCGAGCAGAGATGCTGAATACAGGAATCCGTATTAGAAATGTGACCAGAAAGGATTCTGGGACCTACCGCTGTGAAATCAGTGCAAAGAGTGAAGAAGGGCAACACCTTGGAGAGGCTACTATTACTCTCACAGTACTGGGTATGAACTTTATTACTTGGACTTCTGTAAAGAAACTGAATGTGGACAAGGAGTGTTGAAAGTAGGGTTGTCCATATGGTGTGTGACTGATGGGTTTTGGGGTCTTCTTTGGGGTAGATTTATAAACATATGTGCACATGTACTTTCTACAACATACTTTACAACAGAGCTTCTCAAAATGCACACGTATTAGAAAGATTTTGTTGATATAAATGTGGATTTCAGTTCTCAAAACTTATCAAATACGCTGATTTATGTGATGGTGAAACTTCCATTTCTACTAAAACTGAAGTCACTCAGTGTCCAAGAATCTGAATAAGCTGATCACGGTGTTTGGCACTGGAAAGTCAGCATCTGTCAACACTTATCAAATATTCCTAAGCAACAGTTCATTCCAATATGTTACAGTCTCCTACTGGTTTGTTTGGTTTGTTTTTTTTTTTTTAAGGAGAAACTGCTGCAGTGTCTGTGCAGTGCCAGCCAGCAAGCTAGCAATCTGTGCACTTTATTTACATGAGAGGGTGTTGGCTTGGGGGGTGCTTGGTCTCTGTGGGGTTTTGTTTGTTTTCTTTCCCAACTGGGGAGAGGAGGGAAAAGTGAATACTGAGTACATTCTCCTTACATGGTTCTTTCCTAGTCAATAAATAGGAGAGGCTGGTAGTTTTCTTCTTTTTTCCATATAGGAAGAAAATACTTGCTTTTGTAGTTTCTATATTGTTTTTTTCTATACAAAAATAATTGATCTTTTAAAATTAGAAATAAAGGCTCAAAGTTCTTCATAAAGGATGATAAATTCATGAACTTCTGATTAGCTCAAACAGTGAGATAACCTCATTTTTTACTTTTATTCTACTCCCTCAACAGCTTTCCTGTTTTAAATGTGGCTTCTTAATTTGAAATCTTAGACCCCAACGCAGAGTGTGTGTGTTGCTTACAAACCTTTTTGAAAGCTAATGTGAATTAGTTAGTATTTCACTTGGTTTTCTTTATTTTTGCATTTTATTTTAAAATCAGCCAAGAAAAAGCTATGAATACTTGTTAAGGTGTCAGTTGTGCTTTTAATGTTCCATGCGTGCCTCTTCATCCTTCATTTTCATCTACATATCTTTGAGTTACCAAAAAAAAAAAGATTCTTTTCTGTTCACATAATAATAATAAAGGAGATGTTCATCTTCATGGCAGACAGAACAATCAGTTCTCCTGAAAATGTTTTAGTTTAAACTGAAAGTTAGTAGCCAATTGATTTTGGTCTTCAACCTGGGATTTACACAATGGCTATTGGTAATTCTTTCTGACAATCATTTTTCAAAAACCAGTTGACAAATTTGAATAGAAAAAATATATTTCCTCTTTCTCACTTCTGTTTTTAAATACTGGGGCAAGGAAGTGGGGAATTCTGGGACTACAGATTCCCTGAATTATCCCTCCTCTGACCATGAGCAAGAGTCCTCAAACAAGAAATAAGGTGAAACAAACTCTCAGGGGTTGGATGAGAGTGTATAGATTTGAGACAGGATGACACAGCACATTGTGGAGGAGGCTGGGAGCAAACCTCTCCTGCATTTTTAGCGACTCATAAATTTTACTGTGCTCTCCAGTAGCAGGACTCTCTCTGCCTTCAACCTCTTATCCAACACCTCATTTCATTAATGTGGTAGTTTCTAAGCATGTACACAAGAGCTCACCCCTTCACCAGTGACTGTCAAACTGTTGTCACATAGACAATACTGATAAGACTGTGTAACAAGTGCAATTTCATTGTCCAGTTGCTCCGACTACTCCAGTATGTGAGGTACCCAGCTCTGCAATGACGGGAACAGTAGTGGAACTGAGCTGTAAGGAGACTGAGGGGTCTCCTCCGTCTGAGTACCAGTGGTACAAGAATGGTGTTGCCTTACTGGAAAAGACAGGAACAGGCAGTGCTAGAGCAGCAAACATAACTTACACCATGAATAAAAAATCTGGCACTCTGGTAAGTGTAATAACCAACTCTGTCATAACCAGCTATCAAGAAGACCCAATTTACTGTCTCATACAACGATGCACAGGGGTCTTAATCCAAAAATGCACAAGGTCTTTGTGAGAGATCAATGTCATGCTGAAATAAGTGCTAACAAATGTAAAAGGTGATTTCCACCTCACTCCACATCTATGGCTTGTCATTAGTCTGAGACAGACAAATTGGGTGAGTTGCAAGGCTGCATTAATGATAAATGAGCAGAATCTAGAAAATATGTGACAAATTTCACCTTGTCAGCTAACTAGTGCCAGGTGAGAATGATCTCTCAGTATGTCAACAGACTTATATTTCATAGCACCTTAAAATCTGAAAAAGCATCTTCACAGACTTCAGGGGAAGTGCAGCACTAAGGACGGTCCAGGATCTGTGCAATCCTGTGGCATTTGAAATTTTTCAGTCCAGTACTTGTGAAGTCAGTGGGAATGAGTTGGGCCTGTAAGTAAGCTTAGTGTTTTTTTGGTTTAATTTAGAGTCTTTTTTTTTTTTTTTTTTCTTTTTTTGGGGGGTGGGGTGGGGGTGGGGAGGGTGAGGAGTGGTATTCCTCTCAGAAAGGAGACTGGCTGTCTCTTTCCTATCCTTCCCTCATTAGCTAATCTTTCTAAAAAAAATTGATACATAATACTTAAATGCATTGTCAGCTGAGACTTTTCAGAAGAGTTGTTCTAGGAACATGCTACTCTTGTGCATGGTCAAATGTGGAAATTGAAATGTGACTAAGCCTTCAGAGGTGCTGTGGATATTTCAGCGCACTGG